ACCGCGAGGGGAGCGTGAGTGGCACCACACTCCGGATCGGAAAGATCAGTCCGAAGAGCCAAGAGGGGCATCCACGGAAACCTGATATCCGTCCGGATGAGAGGTCAGCAGAAGGTCCAACAGGGATGGTGTATGATCCTCAACATCTGGAATCCGCGTAGGCGATGTAACCAGTTGTGTCAGACCATATGCCAAGGCAAAGTCATAAACAGATCTCCCCGCATGATCGGTTAAACGTGAACCGAGCCATTCAGCGTGGTGGGCGTTAAAATCGCCAAGGATCACGATCTTTGCGGATGGGAGCTGTTGTAGCAAGGAATCTGTAGCCATTTGGACGTGGTCGATGAGTCGGTCTGTTTCGGCATTACCGCTATGGGACCTATAGAGGCACACGTAGACACGCGGATGTTCGTCGCTGTCTACGCGTAGCCAAAGGATGGACAGGTCCCAACCTTCAAGACTGCCGAGGCGTCGAGAACAAATGTCCTCTCTGACATACACGCAAACTCCAGCCCGAGGCACAAAGGAGTGCTCCAATTTGTACCCCGGGTAGGAGAGATACGAAGTATCAGCCGGAGAGGACACCTGCTTGTCGGTCAGAAAGAGCAGTGCCGGCTTCGCCGTCTCGAGATGGTAGTGGACAGCGTTTAGGTTCGAGTTAAGTCTCCTGATGTTGCAGAAATTCACGGATAGCGTGGCAGGGGTCGCCTTGTTCTTGTTGCTCAGTTTGCCCCGAGCAGTTATTGTGTTGAGCGGAATTTTGCCCCCCCCCCTTCCCCAGAATACGCGGGGCAGCCTGAGCACCCACGCTCAGGAGTGGAATAGCATAGTCGTGGATGCTCAGCGAGGAATTCTCCAGGGGTACTGGTACCCTGCTGGGGTAGTTTATGAATTCCCCTACCATGTTGATGGGGAGGGGGGGGAATGGGGCCTCCGGTCACCTGCACTCACCAGACGACACGCGGAAGCAGAGCTTCCACTTCACGCCGGTATTCTGTGAGGTCGTGGTACTAACCCAGCTCGAGCCGGCTCATACGTGCAACAGCAAAAGCTGCTGCGTGGCTCTACCACCGTTTTACCGTATTTCCATAGCATAGTGTCGTATGGTATTTTGCTATGGTGGCACGCAGCTGACACTGAAATTATATTTGTTTTACAGAAGAGGACCAAAAGAACGTTTATGTTTTAAAGCCTAAAGAGCCGCTGCGACAAAAATTTAAGGAAATTAATATATTAACTTTGGCTTTGAAAATGTACGTACACAAAAATAAAAGTAGTTTTACCAAAATAAGTGATATTAATTCTGTAAATACTAGGAGACACAAGCTAGTAGTAGTAGTACCAGTTACTCGACTCCATCGAGTCAGTAAATATTCTTGGGGCGATGTATACGCTTTTACAACAAATATACATATATGTACGCTTTCACAGAAAATATACAAAATTTGACATGCTCAAAGTTCAAAAACTTTATTAAAATACTGCATCCATCGACTTCCTGCATATCTTACCTGGTCGTCATTCTAGTGGGGGGACGCCCTACACTTCGCCTGCCGGTACGAGGCTACCACTCGAGAACCTTTCTTCCCCATCGGTTGTCGGTTCTTCGAGCTATATGGTCGGCCCATTGCCATTTCAACTTACTAATCCGTTTGGGCTATGTCGGTCACTCTGGTTCTACTGCGGATATCCTCATTTCTGAGTTTATCACGCAGAGAAACTCCGAGCATAGCCCTCTCCATAGCTCGCTGAGCGACCTTGAGCTTCCTCATCCGGCCAGCAGTGAAGGACCACGTCTCAGTTCCGTATGTCATCACTGGCAACACGCACTGGGTGTACAGTCTCGTTTTCAAGTTTTGAGGTATACCTGACGAGAAGATGTGCCGTAATTTCCCGAGCGCTGCCCAACCGAGTTGAATCCGTCGATTGACCTCTCGGTCGAAGTTGGACTTACCTAGTCGGACTATTTGTCCCAGGTAAACATACTCGTCAACAACTTCGAGCTTAGTGTTCCCAACAACTACCGGCATAGGTGTGACATGGACATTAAACATGATCTTTGTTTTGTCCATGTTCATCTTAAGACCTATCCGTTGGGAAACACTATTGAGGTCATTGAGCATAGTGCTTAGGTCCTCCAGCGATTCTGCCATAAGGACTATATCGTCGGCAAATCGAAGGTGAGTGATGTACTCGCCATTGATGTTGATACCGTATCCTTTCCAGTCCAGAAGCTTGAAAACATCTTCCAATGCAGCGGTAAAGAGTTTCGGGGATATGACGTCACCCTGTCTTACACCTCTCTGCAATTGGATAGGATTCGTACTCTGATTCTGTACTCGGATAGCCATCGTAGCCCCTACTGTACAAACACTTCAACACTTCGATATACCGACAGTCAACTTGGCATCGCTGAAGGGACTGCAGCACCGCCCAAATTTCGACGGAATCAAAGGCTTTCTCATAGTCCACATACGCCAGACATAGTGGCAAATTGTACTCCTCGGACTTCTGAACAATTTGCCGAAGGGTATGTATGTGGTCTATGGGGCTAAAGCCTTTTCGGAAACCGGCTTGTTCGGGAGGCTGGAAGTCGTCAAGTCTGCGCGCGAGACGATTCGTAATGACTCTCGAAAACAGCACGTAGACGCGGCTCAGAAGGGAAATCAGTCTGTAGTTCTTCAAGAGAGCGTTGTCACCTTTCTTCAAGAGCAAGACCACCGCACTTCTGCTCCACGCCTCCGGTGTAATGCCACCATGGAGGACGGAATTAAAGAGCTTCTGAAGGACTTCAAGTACCGGTTTTCCACCCGCTTTCAGAAGCTCCGCTGTAATTCCATCCTCGCCTGGGGCCTTGCCGTTTTTAAGGTGCTGGAGAGCCATTCTAATCTCGCTCAGACTGACGTCCGGGATATCATCGGAATAATGTCGGATAAGACTCGCTCTTGGATCGTTACTCACACTTGCGTGCGGCTCCAACGATGACATGTACAGCTGCCCATAGAACCTCTCAATCTCACTCAAAATCTCAGGTGCCCCGGAAACGATGCTGCCACATTCGGTCTTCAGCTTTGACAGTTGGCTCTTTCTGGCAGACAGATCTCTGGCAAAGACTTTGGAGCCTTGGTTCCGCTCGATCGCTTCTTCAATACGAGCTGTATTGAAGTTGCGTAAGTCCCGCCGCATGCATTTGGAGATCTGTCTGTTCAGTTGCCTGTATGCTGTCAAATCTGTTGAAGAATGTAGCTTCATCTCCCGTCTAACAGCCATGAGATTAAGAGTGTGATCGGAGAGTTTTGTGTTCTTCTGCGGCGGGTCTTGCAGAACTTAGCTCCGACCGCATGGACAGTTTCCACGAGCTTGTCATTCAAATCGTCCACTTCATTGCAGTCTTCTAGGCACTGAAAACGGTTTTGTAACTCGATCTGAAAGGTTTCGGGACCTTGGATTAGAACACGAGGGGGACGGAGCGTTGACTTCATTAGACGAGACCTCTCCAACTTTACGTGTAGGTTCAGTGTGCCTCTAACCATTCGGTGATCGCTGCCGGTTTTCACCCTCGCGATCACTGAGACATCACTGAACAGTTGTCGTCTGGTCGTCATAATGAAGTCAATCTCATTTTTTGTGGAACCGTCGGGGCTCGACCAGGTCCACTTCCTGTGGGGCCGCTTCTGGAAGAAAGAGTTCATCATAAAGAGTCCCTCTTTCTCCATGAAGTCGACCAGCTGCTGGCCCCTTGGGTTCCGTTGCCCTATTCCAAATTTCCCCACTTTCAGCTCACCGTTCTCTCTTGTGCCTAGTTTTGCATTGAAGTCTCCCATTAACACCGTATATTGGGTTTTGGAGGAATTCATGGCTCTAGAGATATCCTCATACATTTCCTCCACCTCCTGATCGGGGTGTGCCGAGGTTGGTGCGTAAACCTGTATGACCTTCAGCGAATACCGTTTGGTGATTCTGAGTATAAGGTACGCAACCCTCGTCGACACACTCTCAATCTTTACAACGTTGTTAACGAGAGACTTGTGGACGATAAATCCGACACCTCCTTGGGACAGATGGTCGCCCTCCCGGTAATAGAGCAAGTTACCGGATTCGAGGATTACCGTGTCCTCCCCCTCTCTTCGGACTTCGGATAATCCTATAATATGCCAGCGTAACTTGTATATCTCTTCTTCCAGCTCCACAATCTTCTCGTCAGTCCTCAGGGTGCGTGCGTTGTATGTTGCCAGGTCGAGTCGTCGTAGGTGGCAACCGAACCTCCACCGGAGATTCTTAGCACCCCCTGCCCCGCCGTTACCATGGTAGCCACCGTAGCCAAGAATAGTGGGGCCGCCGGGGACTGGGGGCCGTCTCTTCGTAACTTTCATCATGGGGGGTATATTGCCATAGTTGCCACGCTTGGCGAGCGGGTTGGCAACCGCAGTTTTATTTTATTGTATTTTTGCCGTTACCAGGAAGATGCTGCTGCCCATCTCCTGCCTGTTTCCCTTTGTCGCCTTTTACGACACCCACGGGAAGATATGGGGTAGTGGATATTCTTAACCGCCACTACACGGCACGACATCGAAAATAGTTATGCATATTTCTACTAATAACTATGGCAATTAAAAAATAAACAAAGGTTAATCTCTCAGCACAATGGGGTGTACAATATTTTTGATCAGTCCGTCTGTAGCCAATACAAACAAACTGGATGTTTTTCCCACGCGAGAACATGCCACATATGTCCGTGGGAAAGGCATGGTGTACCCAAATCTAAGCCACAAACAGACAACGTTTGGCCTTGTGACTTATTTAGTTATTGCGAATGCCAATCTAATTGGGAATGGAATGCGTTTGAGTTCAATTGGCACATCTGTAGGAATCATAGGGATTCGTGGCAGCAATACATTTTAGTCCCGGAACTTGCCATTCAAAATGCTGGCTTCGATAACGTTTTTCATTAATTTTTAATGACTAATCGTGTGTCATTGCAAAGCCATGGTGGGTTCAAATTACGAAGCAAAATAACCGGAGATCCAACGTTCAATCGTAATCGCAACGATTGAATTTAAAAACTCAATTGCATAATTCACAGCTTTGTTGGCATCGCAAACTGCATCGACAGTTTTGTATGACACCAAGTCCCCTGGCAACAAATGTTGTATCTTGGAATTTAATTGATTGACGTCCACATTTTTTGCTGCCAAAATCGCTCTTTCTGCCAGCCACTCAAGATTTTTGTATTGTGTTTGTACATCGGGATATATGTGATCGATGAGAGTATTTTGCGAGTTGATGATTGTGCAGAAATCGGTTGGCAGTTTTATGCATCCCGTATTTTCATGTACAGCAACTTTTCCATTGCCAATATCTAACAGTTGTTTTGAGAAAGTTTCGGCGGATGAATCCTGAAGCATTTGAACGTGCATGTTCACTGTCAGTTGTACTTTTTCAATATTACGCCACAGTCGCGATGATTTTAAGCAAGTGTTGATTTCATCAGCGTACGTTGAACATGGAATAACGGGAAGTGTCTGTCTCAATTGGCCTTTAAACAGGGCAATCTTATTTAACTTATTCCTACAAGTTTCCTTACTTAAATTATTAAGTTTACATTCATATTTAAGTCGAATGTTAAAATAAACTTCCATAATGTATTTAATTACAGTGGACCCCCGGTAATCCGGCCCCTGTCTAATCCGGCACCCGCTGTAATCCGACATTGTCCGACATGGTCTATTATTTATTATTAGATATTTCTTTGACAATCTTCGCAAATGCATGATTAAAGTTAGTCCTTGTAAGTAAAATGTACATTTCTAGCTAACGCATACAATGACAAATCAAAATTAGTCACTCTTTTTCGGGCTGTCAGGTCGTCTAGCTAGGTAGCTAGTATATTCGTTAGTCTATGAGCAAATCGTAACAACAACGTCTGTCTATCCTTCTTATTTGTTTGTGTGTCTATCTAATATTAGTCTTGTGCAAGCACTTCTTATTAGTTGGTCTTGTGCCTGCTCGGTCATTTTAAAGATCGTTCCGTACTAGTTCATTACGGCCTGTGAACTAGTTCGTTCTATTAGTTCTATTAGCTCTATTGGGTTATCAGTAATACTAAGCATTTACTGTATCTATCTGTAAAATCTGTATGGAATGCTTATTTCACTCAGTGAGTCTCAGTCTCAGTCGTTTGATATCTGCTCGAATCGTAATGTTGTTTTATCACTCTCACACACGCCCTTGATAATTTCTTGGTCAAAATAAAAGTCTAAAGCAAATTGGTGTGGAAATAATAATTAATGTTAATGAAATAAAATCGCATATCCATAAAATGCCAAAATAAAAAGCATCTAAGGATGCAATCAACATTAAAACAATAATAAAAAGCACAAATAATAATAATAATAATAAGTGTTTATTTCAGACGTAAGGAACATCCATAGATTGTTAGTATGTTAGTAACAATTTTTCCTTAACTTGTAAGTTAGTATTGTTAGTTAATGTGAATTATGTACAAATTATTTTTTTTCGCCCAATAGCTATCGTCATACAGTGGTGCAGTATGGGGCAGTCGGGCTTGGCAGCAATTACCCTTAGGATGCCGTTGTTGCTGGTACGTAAGCGCTGCAGGAGAGACGCTGCTTTTCTACGCATTATGGCGAAAAAGTCATTAGTGTGTGCGTCTGCGAAAAATAAATACTACTTAACAAAATATAAAAATACTTAACAAATACAAAAATACTACTCAAGTATTTTTATAACATAACTTCAATTTGATTACATTTTTACGCGACCGCAAGTGCCGAAACGAAGTCAAGCAAATGGTTGTTCTTGTATCTATTTATAAGTATAATAAATAAAATAATTTGCAAAGACAGCGAGTCTAGCATCTATTTATTTATTTATTTTATTGATTTTTTTATTTAGGCTTACCAACTAAACACATACAAAACATTATTATTAAACATTTGCAGTTATAAACAAAATTATACTATATATGTATTTAACTTAAAGGTATGCACAACATTTCAACATGAAACTTAAAATTAGTTATGAAATTAACAGATAATAAAATATGATATAAACACAAAGACTGGTCTATGCAATACAGGTAAAATTATAATTTGGTAGAGAGCTTAACATTGTATAATTTAAAGTTGTATAATTTAAAGTTTTAATTTTCAGTTTGAGTGTAGTATAGAAATATTTTCTTTTTTAAGGAACCCAGACTATCACTAAAGAGATCTATATTACATTTACCGAATATATCATTGTACTTTCTCATCATAGAACATAGAGGAGAGTTGTTACCATATTTTTTGCTATTGAAATTTACACTAAAGGGACTAAAATTACATAACCTTGCTGAAATTCTGGGCACCTTCAAGTTAATTTGTGATAGGAGGGATGGACAATCCACTTTATTATTAAGTAGTTTATGTAAAAGGCTTATAGATAGCAAATTCTTTCGCTGCTCCAATGATAAAATTTCGAAATGCGCTAATCTTTCAGAGTATCTGCGAATTGTACGATGAACGCCACTTACATAAGATATTTTAATTAAAAATCTTTTTTGGATTCTTTCTATACGCTGAATATTATTTTGATAAGACGGGTACCATACGACTGAACAATAATCAACATGACTGCGAACCAGTGCGAAATAGAGAACTTTTAACGCTAAAACCGACGTAAAATCTTTGGTGTTTCTGAAAATAAAAGCTAACATTCTTAATGATTTGTGTATGGTATTGTTAATGTGGTTAGTAAATCACATATGAGTGTCAATAGCAATGCCTAAGTCCTTCACTTCATCTACTTTCGCTAAATCTACACCATTTATATTGTAACTACTATTATATTTGTTAAATTTTCGAGAGAATTTAATGTGATAGCATTTATTTGTATTGAGAGACATTTTATTTTGCCGGCACCATTCTGTAATTCTATCTATATCCTCTTGAAGTTGAATTTGGTCTGTGTTATTATTCACAATTTTGCATATCTTTAGGTCGTCTGCGTATAATTCAAATTCGGAGTTACGGATACAGTGCTTAATATCATCGATAAACATAATAAAAAGTAATGGGCCAAGGTGCGAGCCTTGTGGAACTCCAGACGTTGGGATAATTTCACTAGAAACAAAACCGCTAATGACTACTCTTTGTGTTCGATCTGTGAGATATGAAGCAAACCAATCTAATAAGCATCCATGTATGCCAAATAATGTGTGTAGTTTTTTGATTAGAACTGAATGATTTACTGTGTCAAACGCTTTACTAAAGTCATTATAAATACAATCTACTTCATTCCCTGAGCTCATTCTAGTAAGTGTTCTGTCAACAAATGTAATAAGATTGGATGTAGTAGAGCGATTTTTAAAAAATCCGTGTTGTTCATCAGCTATAATATGTTTTATATGCCAAGTCAAATAAGGACAAATTAACGATTCAAAAACTTTACCTAAAACTGGAAGAATACTAATAGGTCTGTAGTTGCAGATATTACTTTTATCGCCTGTTTTATGTAATGGTATAATTATTGCATCCTTCCAACGTTTCGGAAATATACCTTCAGATAATGATCTATTAAAAATAATATGTAAAGGTATCGTGAGCTCTACTGCGCATTCCTTCAGAAACAAGGGGTGAATCCCATCACTTCCGGCGCCCTTAGTAATATCTAGAGCCTTTAAGCACTTCTCAATACTGTCATTATTTAAATAAAGATTCCCCATGGAGAAAGCAGACTTTGGTATTTCCATTTTGTTTATATGTAAACTAATATCAATAGGTTTACATACTAATTCAAAATTTTCTGCAAACAGGTCGGAAATTTTTTCTCCATTATTAGCTTCTTTGTCTCCAAATTTCATATTAGACGGTATACAACCATTATTCTTACGTTTATTTTTTATATGAGTCCAAAAGTACTTAGGGTCTTTAATCACGCTGTCAACAACAGTTTCAATATATCTGTCATAACATTTTTTGATTAATGTTTTAGTCCTAACTTTTAAGATATTGTATTCAAATTTATCTAAATCATTCCTGTACTTTTTAAACTTTTGACGAGATTTTTCCTTTTCTCGTAATAGTTTTATGAGGTTTGTTGTATACCATGGAGGATATGATTTTTTGTTCTGTATGCGACATGGAACAAATTCAGTGATAACTTTTTTTATAATAGAGTAAAACTTCGATACAACTTCATCAACAGTCGAACAGTTTTGGAACTCCGAAGTCCAGTTAAGGTCAGATAAACGGGCTCGTATACTATCATAATTCGCTAAAAAAAACTTGTATTTAGGAGTTTGTCTTGGAGAGAGCATTTTTGCTTTACATAAAACTAAGTCGACTTCAATTGGGGGATGATAGTTGTCTATTCGAGAAATTATACTGTTTGATTTTTTAACGGAAATATCACAGATTGTGTTACTCAGCACGAGGTCGAGAATTTTGCCCTGGTGATTAGAGATCTGACTATATTGCTTTAGATCATAACTAGATAAAAAATCTACGAATTCATAACCGAAGATATTATCGAAATTGCTGGGTTTAAGCGATGAATCTGCATTAGAAGGAGTCCAAACAATGTCACGCAGATTAAAATCCTTTTGTGCTTTTTGTGTATATTGAATATTTTTTTATGTAACTGTGAATAGTTAGAAAGTCGAAGTCTGTTCTTCCAATTAAGATTTAATCTTAACTGCCACAAAAGTTTTCTTTTCTTTCGACTACATAATTTTATTTCTTTATTTATTCCATAATCCGCAGAGGTGGTGTATGTATTTTGATAAAGGAACATATAGAGTGGAACGAAATAAAATTAGTTTCAGATTTAGCAGAATCCGAGCATTTTGAATGTTGTGGAATAGAAATTCTTTTACATAATATTTACGTAATATGCATCTATAGGACACCTAGTTTGAATGTGAATATATTCTTTTTTAAACTACAAAACTTAGTGTCAAAATTAATTAATAATCACAATAAAAGAATTATTATTGTTGGAGACATTGACATTAATACCTTGGAAATTATAAATATACAATTGAATTAAATGACATCATTTCGAATTATAATTTATATAGACATATTAATGAACCAACGCGTGGAAACAATTGTATAGATCATGTGTTTAGTAATTTATTGAATGCAACGGCATGTGTTGTTTCGTGAATGTATAAAAACGCTTACTTTTAAGTAAGTTTTTGAGGTTAAGGACATCAATGGTGCATACAATAAATTTATGGAACTTTTTATCTTATTTTATAATCTATGCTTTCCAATGATTAAGCCATAAACCTAGATATGAAATATAAAAATAACTGGATCACAAAAGGTTTGAGACTTAGTTGCTCAATGAAAAGTGAACTCAAAATGGCTTATTATAGGAAAAAGACTGAAGAGAATAA